TGCTTGAGGAAGAGATTCATGGGATGTTTTGGTAGGGAGACATTGAACCCTGAGTCCAGTGGTGTTTTGACTGTTCTGCTCCTCAATCCTATCACATGGATTCAATGTGCTTTTCCCTGCACATTCATAAAGGACTTTGGACTTTTTGCCTCAAGGCTCTATAGTAAATGCAAGAATGATGTCCCCAGCACCACTCTGACCAGGGTTAGGACATTATTGCTGCTTGCCATTAGTGACCTGACTCAGGTGTCAGCAGTCACTCTGCATCAGCTCATTCCCATCACTGCCTGGACAATGGGAGTTGCTTCTGGGTGTGTGACACTGTCTCTGCACACATTTCCCCCCTCTCTCATGAAGGGGTTATGAGGTGGCTGTGACAAATTGCCTGAGCCACTCTCCTGTCACTCCCTGTACGTGCTCAGCTGAGGTCACTCCGTGCTGCAGCCACATCTGCATAAAATCTAGGGCAGATTGTTTGATGGGCTTTGTCTCATTGGGTCCCTTCCAGGTCACCTTGTTTCAGAAAGGACCTGACAGATTTATAGGACTGTTAGAGAAGGAAATTAAGATAAGAGATGGTGGCTAATCTGCAAACAGGGAGATGTGGAAATACCATGTCAGTGGAGAATGGAAAGTGTGATGTGGTGGTAGTTCCAATACCAGCAGGTAGATCAGGGGGTTTCATGTCTGTCAGCCTGTAACTTGGGAATAGGGAGACACTGGAACTGAAAACCAAATTACTCTGTTCAGTGCAGCATGATTTTAGCAGTGACTCCACAAACAAGTTGATAATATGAGGTCAGGCTCACCTAGGGACAAGGAAAATGAATTTGTCAAACTCTCCAGCTAGTTCAGTTCTGCAAAATTGTCCTTTCCTGAGGCAATGAGGAGGTATAGAGATAACCACGTTTTCATTTGCAGTGGGGTGTTGGTAGAAGTTGAGCTTGTGCTGATAAATTTTCTCAGTGGTAGATAATTAATTTACTCCCATAATGTTATCTTTTTGGGCATTTCAGCCAAGGTTGTTTGGGCATTTGTTGCTGTTCTTAAACATGAAGAAACTCAATATATACAACAGTTTCCTGGGTTTTGTCTAAGTATGTGTCTTAGTTCCAGTAGCTCTCTGTGCTGAATTGAGCAAGCCATGAATGAGTTCATGGGGCTGGAGCAGCTCTGCCCTGGAGCCAGGCTGGGAGAGCTGGGGGTGTCCACCTGGAGAAGAGAAGCTCCAGGGAGACCTCAGAGCCCCTTCCAGTGCCTCAAGGGGCTCCAGGAGAGCTGAGAGGGACTTGGGACAAGGGATGGAGGGGCAGGACACAGGGAATGGCTTCCCACTGCCAGAGGGCAGGGACAGGTGGGAGATTGGGAAGGAATTCCTGGCTGGGAGGTGCTGAGACACTGGCACAGGGTGCCCAGAGCAGCTGTGGCTGCTCCATCCCTGGGAGTGTTCCAGGCCAGGTTGGATGGGGCTTGGAGCAGCCTGGGCTAGAGGAAGGTGTCCCTGGCAGGGGGTTGGAGCTAGGTGATCTTGAAGGTCCTTCCAACTCAAACCACTCTGTGATTCTGTGAAGACTGAAGAGTGGTGGCTGAGGAGTGGGAGCAGCTCCAGTTCTGCTGCAGATCTCGTGTCCTGCTCTGGAGATTGCAGCTCCTGCTGGGCAGACACCAAAGCATGTGGTGGCTCCGGAGCTGCTGCAGTGAAATGTGATGGAGCTTGTCTGTCAGAGATAGCAGTGCCTGACATATGGATTTGGGAAGTGTTATCTTCACATTTTGTTGGGGTTATGAGTGTACTTGAGTTGCTCATTAAACGCCATTGAACTCCAGCAGCTTTTTTTTCTTCTCTTAGATAATAACAACTCTGATGTCATTGCCTTATCCCAAACTACTTAGGGCTTTGCAAAGGTACTTTAATTGCATTAATTGGGCAGCAAGGAAGCCACAGGAGCAGGTTAAGTGCTGTACACTGAGATGAGATTACAGCTGTAGTAAATATAGTAGTGAAGTTGTAGTAACTGACTCACTTGATGAGGCTCGATATTTTAGCTTTCTGATCTTTTGGGTTGTTTAAAACCTCTTGTACTAATTTAATAACTCAAAATTAATTTCTTCTGTTCTATTTGTGTGGATAAGTCGGTTTTCATTGCCTTGAGGCTCTTCCTTTCTCCTGGGGGATAAACAGGTTATCTCCTTCCCTGTCTGCGACTCCCTCTGGGGTTTTACAGTGGTCTCTAATATGGTACTACAGTGGAGTTACTGTACAGTTACTAATACTTTTGTCTTCCCTTAGCCCCAAGTAGGACACCTAAAAAGTGAGTAATGCTGGTAGAGAGGAGGGAGTGAGGGGAAAGATCCTCAGGAGTATTTTGGTGCCAATCCTGAGCCAAAACCAGCCAAAAATAAGTCACCAGAGAGGGTTTGGAGCCAGGTGACCTCTCAGCTTGCACACAGGACATATAAAGTCAGTCTCCTGGCTGCTGCTCTGAGTGTGTGGAGTCTCCTGGGAGCTGAGCAGAGGTTGTTTTGGTGGTTTGCAGGTTACTGCTGGAACTGCTGGAGCTTCTCTTCGACAAGTTCAACGCTGTGGCTGCTGCACACTCGGTGGTCCTGGGACACCTGCAGCAAACAGTGGCCTCTCCCTGCAGCCAGTATGATGGTGACATCAAGCTCTATGACATGGTTGATGTGTGGGTGAAGATCCAGGATGTCTTGCAGGTAAGAATCCTTCAGGTGGGCACATTTTCAGCTTGGAACAGCTTTTCTAGCCAAAATACCAGAGAACACCTGTCATGCTCAAGAGACAGCAGTGCTGCAATTTCTCTTGATTTTTGGTAAGTGGCCACATTTATAACAGGCTGTTAAACTCCAGAGAGCTTAAATATCAGCAGAAAAAAAAATTTTCAGTGGATTCATCCTTGTGGTGTATGGAAAGGTTGATTCCTTGTGCCTAGCAAGTGATTTATCAGCAGCTTTCAAACAGTGACATTTTTGTTCTGTCTTACCATGTCATTCCTGTCTTATAAAGTGTCACAGCTCTAATGGCTTGTCTCCTCTTGTCATCATGGCTCAGTTCTAGGCAGCTGAGACACCTGCTGCCAGCATGTTTGTAGGAAATTCTCCCTTGATTCTTCTTCTGAACCGTGAGATGCTAAAGCTGTACCTTGCTTAGGCTTTGTTCTGGTCTCTGAGCCTCTCACAGGTAGCAGAGCTCTCATCTGTCACAGGTCTCATCCTTCCTGTGAGCTCACACGTGCATATCTTATTTATTTCTGTTGGAATTGCCTTCCTAGGTAGTGCCCAGATAGAGACCTCACCTAGGGTTTGATAGAGGAGGTCAAAGCAATGAGCTTGGAGTTAGTTACAAGAGGTGGCAAGATTGATGATGGTCATTCCACCTCTGGGCTCCTGATGGAAAATGCTCTCTGCCTCCTACCCTAACACACTTTTTCATTGTAGGACTGTTATGTAGCTGTTGCTCTAAAGACTTGTTTGACTGTGCAGTGCTGCAGGTTTTTGGCCTACACAAATAGCCAACTGTGTGCATGGTGTGAATTTAGATCCTTCTGGGACATGGTGAATGTGAGGTATGAGCCTTCAGTCCTCTCACTGACTCCTTGCCCACGTATTTATCCTTCTGGAGAAGTTATTATTAAAGAAATCTTGATCAGTTTTCTCCATGATACAAATTTTTCACCTCCTTTCACTACTGTTCTTTTAAAAATTGGGTTGGGAGTGTCCAGCCAGAAGTTCATCATTCTAAGCAAGGATGTCACAAGGCTGAAGCCCCATTAAAGGATAGGGTTAAATTTAAGGACATGAGGAATGGGTTTGGCCTGGGATGCCTCCAGGCATCTTCCTGTCATCCATGAGGTCTAGAACACCTTTGAGTTCTGCAGATTTGGCTCCAGGAGGACAAAGCCTTGGGAGTAAGAATCCTCCAAGGTTTTACCTTCAGTGGAGCAGGAGGACAAAGCTGAATACTGCCCTTGTCAGGGAGAGGTTGGGATGGTTTCAGGCCTTGTGAGTGGTGAAATTTGGGGTGGTTTATACTGGGCTATTCCAGAACAACCTCAGGAGAGCTTAAATAAGAAGCCCGAGTAGGTGTGTATGTTTAGGGAGTGAGTCAAAGTGCTTTCTGTGTTGGGGAGACAATATGTGACCAAATCTACTATAAAATGTGTGCCAGGAAAAATGTACCAACCCACTTGGAAAGGTTTCATCAGTGTTGGGTGTCAGAGGGAGCCAGAAAAGAGCTTTGCAAGAGCTTTCAAAGCAGCACTATAAGATCCATAATCTCTTGCTGGTTTAGGGTAAGAGATGAGCATTGAGTGACATGGAAAGGAGAAAATATTCCCTTTCTTTGTTCAGGAACTTGTGGGTGTTTATACTTCACTTTAAAGGAAGTAGGTTAAATTTCTTTGCTTTCCATTGTAAGAAAACCTTTGATCCCAAAGGCTAAATTATTTCCATCCTGCTTTTCTGAATGAGGGTAGTTTTTTTGAGGGGAGTCTGATGTTTGCAGCAGGAGCAGAAAATCAGGTTTTCTTGGTACATTTTTGTTTTGTTCCTGCTGCTGGAGGAGGCTGAAAATGTAAAGGAAGTGAAGTGCATCAGGGAAGCAAAGCAGTTCCTTCAGATCCTGATGAATGGAATTGAGTCATCACACCAGAACAGGGTCACATGACTCCACTTCACATGGATCCTGGTTTTGTGTGTGCACATTGTGCATCTCTGCATGGGGAGCACATTACAGCAAGGATCTCTCTCCAGTTGTGCACGACATAATGGGAGCTCGTGGTGGGCTGCAAATTGTCTTTTGTGGGGAAATGAGTTGTTTTCAGCAGCTTGTTTTTGTAGCTGCTCTTCTAAAGCTTCCTAATAACTGCACCAAGCTCTGTGGTGTTAGAGGTGGCACAGCACTGGGCAGTGTTTAGATACAAACATCCAGATATTATACATTTCTGACCTTCTCTGGGAGTGGAAGAATAATAGAGAAGACAGAGTGACCTTTTGGAGCTGGGTACTGGAGTGCTAGAAACAAACAAACAGCAAAAGCAGTTTGTCAAAACATTAGAGCTTGGGTCAGGAAAACACAGTTTGAAGTTATTTCCTTGTGCCACAGCCAGTGTAGCCTGTGGTGGTTTTGCTGTATCAATGGGAGAGGGAGGGGGAACTTGTTTAAATTTAAACTTGGCATTTTGTGTGTGGAGCTGATTTAGCTCTGCAGTGTAGGAGTGGGTGGAATATCCTCCTGAACAACCTCAGTACTGTAAGACCAAGTGCTTGGCTGGAGAGGACTGTGAGCTCTGTTACAGCAGCAGCATAGTGGCAGGAATAGTTTCCTGAGGATAATGCACTGAGGGAATTCTGGGGGTTTTGGCATGGTTCATTCAGCTGCTTGAGCACTGTCACCTTTGTAGTGCCGTGGAGATCACTCTCGTGTCTCACTGCAGCACCTGCTGCTGGAGGAGCTACCAGAGGCCTCTCCATGTGATAACATGATGAGCTTGGGCTGGAGCTGTTTGCCTCCAAGGAAGAGATCTTACCTCCTTTTGTAGTGGTGGAATTTGTACTTGATGGTTCTTAGCTTTTTGAGTAGTCTATACTTGTTTTCTGGCTTCTGCAGAAGAGAGGGAAATCACATGTATTCTCCAGGACACGTATCTTTAGCAAGCTCTCTGGTGGTCTATCTACTGAGATGACACTGACAACCATTAGTTGCCTTTTTTGGGGTTTTTCTGTCTAATGCATTCGTGTGTTTTCCAAAAATGGTGTCATTTAGCAGCCTAAACATTGCTGAAACCATAAGGAAAGTGGAGCAAGAGATACTGAAGGCTGAACTCTACCCACACACTCCTGTTCTGCTGCTGCAGAGCTGCAGATATCAGACACTGTTGACTGAGGAGCTTCTCAGCTTGTGATGCTTCACCATCCTTACATCCTTCAGAGAATCATAGATTCAACCAGGTTGGAAGAGACCTCCAAGATGGAGTCCAATCCTACCGTGGTCACTAGACCATGGCACTAAGTGCCACATCCAGTCTCAGCTTGAAAACCTCCAGGGATAGTGAATCCACCACCTCCCTGGGCAGCCCTTCCTTATAAAGAGGAATGGCACTGAGGGAGGGACTGGGGAAATGGGATAATTCTGCAGCTCCCAACCAGAGCTCGTGGTCAGCAGTGTGAGTGATCTGGGAGAAAAGCTGCACTTGGATTGTCTTTGCTGTGTCACAGCTCCTCAGGAGTCCTGCTGGAGCAGCTGGAGGTAGATTTCAGGTCTCTGCTGCTGTCACCTGAGTCACCCTGTGATAGTTAAGTGAATTAATGGCATAAAATGTTGGTCCTCTCTGACAAACAGGTGAGCAGGGGAGAGGCAGTGGAGCTGAGCAGCCTTTACTGCTCAGTTACTCAGGTGTGCAGAGGTCAGGAGCTGCAGGGATAACACACGACTTGGTTCTCAGCTCCTTTGAAAAAAAAAAAAAAAAAAAGGTTTTCCCTGTGAGGGTGGTGAGACACTGGCCCAGGTTGCCCAGGGAGGCTGTGGGTGCCCCAACCCTGGCAGTGTTTCATTCCAGGTTGGAGGAGCCTTGAGCAACCTGCTCTGGTGGGAGGTGTCCCTGCCCAGGGCAGGGGTTGGGGCTGGAGGATCTGTCAGGTCCATTCCAACCCCTAAATTCTATGATTCTATAGTTCAGCTCCATTCCATTGGTTTGGCCAAGTGTTTGCTGCTGGCTGAGTTTCCTGCTTGCTCAGGTCCCTGAACTGTGTCAGGGTTGGCACAGGAGTGAGTGAGAGAAGGCAAGGGAAGGGTTTATCCTGACAGCTGCAGTTCCATCAGCTGAAGCTGCTCCACAGAGCAGCACCACAAGGAACCTCCTCATGGACAACCCAAATAGTGTTTGCTCTTGCCCTGAGTGGCTCAGCACAGGTCTGACTGCTCTGAACCTTTGCATTTAAAGGCTGAACGAACTCTTTATGACAGAGTTAATACTTGTAAAGTAAAATAAGCTCCTTAGATGAGAGCTGTTAGTGTTAATGTGCCATAAATCCTGGTGGAAATGTCAGAGCAATATCTGAAATTGCTGTTGCATTTGGGAAGTTCACAGGTAATATTTTGAACCTAAAGGATTGCTGTTTTTCAGCAAGTCTCTTCACAGAAATTTAGTGGGCTTGTGGTTGTCCTCAGAATAGTGTCTGACAAGTCTTTGTGGTTTGTTTCAAATGGTCTTAAGTGTGTGGAACTGATGCCCTTGGACTCCTGACTGGTTTGTCTCATTAATGCTCATCTCCTGGAGCTGAGAGGACAATGGTCATAAAAGTGATTTGTCTGCAGCTTTTGACAAAGTAGTTTCACTCAGTCTCTTGCAGAAGAGAGAGAGAATTCTGCTCCAGAATGCTGATGTTTAAAAATCAGTTGAAACAATGAGAATAGGTCACCTGTCACTTTTCCCCCCTCTGTTATTTGAAGTGAGCTCAGAGCATGCAGGAGTGAATCCAGCACAATGGTACAGAACCTTTATTCCTCAAACAGATACTGCCAAGAGCATGGGAATATCTGTGGAAGTTTATGGTCCAGGAACACTCTCATCTTTCTGGATCTAGGAAGGGCCAAGATTTGGCAGGAAGGTGTTCCTTTAACTTTTGGCCTTGCCACAAGGTGTGTAGTGGCCTCCCTCTCCTCTCTGGTAAAATGTTTCACAGCTTTGCTCCAACCT